GGTAAGATGGATGCTGTTTTGATTTTCCTCCCCCTTTTTTTCCCCTTCAGTTTTATTCTTAAAATTGCATGCTGCACATTTTCTGTCTGCTTTGGGGTGGCATGTGAAGTGTGGAGTTTTTTTATTGGTAAAGAAATGTAATCTTCATCATGTGAAACTTTAACAGAGGGATGAGCCAAGTTTGGGATGCATCAAACTCTTTTTTTATTTCCTAATTCTTTTGTACATTTCTCCAATTCTCTCTGAACATGTTCTGCTAGATGGAGAATCTATTGGACAGTGAATGGCATCCCTTCTTTTTTCTTCATACATGGAATAAGGAAAACAGTTAGACTCAGACTTTCAAACATCCATGATCATATTAACACTTAGTAGTATTTGTAGTGTTGATAGTGTTTGTGTTCTGGACTTTCAACCTCTCATAAATCTATGCCTGCCCAATGTCAACTGTTATTAGCTGATCTCCTCCCCCTCCTTTTCCTAATGCAGGGCTCACCCATCTCAGTGTCTTCACACACTCTCACTCCATATTCCCAATTTCTCACACTAAAAAATGACAGACATTAAAACTCAACTTCATTCCACTTATTTATGTATAAAAAATACCATGGTGATCAAATTACAGTCTGAGTTTTTATACAACCTTAGTGCTCACACACGAGGACATGCCACCTATTCACTGTGTCAGATATTGAAAAAAGACAGTTGTTACGAGGTATGTCATTTTAATTTTTATCTTATCTCATCTGGACTAGGATAATTCTCTTTGTAAATCATTGAAGATTTTAAGTTCTTGGGAAAATATGAATAAAAAATACAGCAGCTTGCTTAAATTCTGTGAAGTCTGGGTGTAGGGTCAGGTCAAATGGAGTGTTTTCTCTTTACCTGGTGCTTTTTTGGTCCCAGTTTTAGTCCATGTTTTGCTCGCAAGTTAAATAATTATTGCTCAGTCTAGTTTGATAATCTCCCTTTGGAATCTAGGAGTAATTAAACAAACACTAATATTTTAATTCTTAAAGCTTTCAGATTTGCCTCTCAAACCCATAGAAGCTCCACAAAAAGAAAAATAATCATTGCATTTAATTTTTCAAAAGATCAGCCACCCAAGAAACGACCAGCCACATCCAGAGAGGATGTGCAGAACAGCTCAGTTATCCTGGATTCGTAGAGGAGAAACCACAGGGATGTTCTTCTTTTTTTATTACTTATCTATTCATTTATCTTTATTTTGGTTCATTGAATATGTTTAAAAACTTAATTTCCATCACACCTTCCAAACTGAAACATCCAGAGAAGTGCCGTCTCCTGGCATTGTGAGTTTTTATAAAATCTACAGCCTCCTAGAAGGTCGGAACTGTTTAGCTGTTTTGTCAATTATAAGAAAAACTAATAACATAATGAATAAAGCTTTTTAATCCTTAGCCTATTACCAAATACTCATACACAGTGTAGTTTGCATGGGATTCAATTGCACTGGTTCCTGTATCAGTGCCAGTAATCTAGTAATAGCTTATTAGTTTCCCATTGTTTAATTCACTTGAAATGCAGAGAATAATTAATGAGCAGAGTTTTGAAAATCTTAGTTTAAGGTATATTTAAGATGCAAGTATTTTAGTAGGACCCTTTCTGCTTTACTTCAATTCTCTAAAAATCACCAGAATGTAGAAAATAATGTATACTGTGAAAAAAATGTTCCACATAACTACAGACCACTTATTGTTAAATTCCACATTTTGCCACTTTGTTTTAGTTAAATCCTCTGAGAACCTGCAACCTATAGCTGCACCAGTCCTCATCTAACCCTGGGCTGCATGTCCAAATTATTTAAAAATCTCATCCCAAGGTTTGGTGAAAAGTTGGCAGCCCTGTTAATGACATTTTCTCTTTTAGTTAGATAGATAGATAGATAGATAGATAGATAGATAGATAGATAGATAGATAGATAGATAGATAGATAGATAGATAGATAGATAGATAGATGATAGATAGATAGATAGATAGATAGATAGATAGATAGATAGATAGATTCCTCTGTTAATGAGGGGGAGACCAATGTAGGAATTGTCAACAACCATCATATATAACGTATTTTATCATAGTAATAATCTGTCACCAACACAAATGTCCTTTAAACGTCCCCGGCTTAGGCCGACCCCCACTTCCATCCAGAAATATGGCGCAGGACCTGAACTTTAACCTCGGATATTTTTCCAGCCTCGTTCATCTGTTCGACAAACTGCAAATCCATCACTTAAACTTCTCGCGATAAACGACCTTGATATATAAGAAACAGCTAAGGGGGTGCTCAGTCCACTTGGTGGGGTGTACGGTTTCCCTTGAGGAGCTTGGGTCGAGATTTGGAACAGCTAAGTGAAGAGGGGAGACTGAAAACAACCAGCCATGTCGGACGCGGTGGTCAGTTTTATGAAGGACTTTTTGGCCGGTGGCATCGCCGCTGCCATCTCCAAAACAGCTGTTGCTCCCATTGAGAGAGTCAAACTGCTGCTGCAGGTAACCAGACTGGACCAGCTGTGAGTTGCGCTGTTAATTGTGCATAAAGTGTGTGTAATTGGTGCATTACTGACAACCTATTCATGTGGAAATCACGTTAAAAGATGAAAAGTTCCATTATGCACGATGATGGTTCATATGATCTCGTGCGTAATGGCACATGGCACGTGATTGGATCAACGTGGAGATCCTTTTACGCACAGGTCTGAGGGATGGTGGGAAGGTATAATGGTGTTGGATCAGAATAAAACAGTTACATTATTTGTCCATGATGTTATTTGAATATTTTTTACTTAGATTGAATGTACTTTTTGAACACATGCTCGTAATATGACGTGGAAAAGAATTGCTAAAATTAACCTAAAAGATGTAATCCAATACGCAGGGAAGTTTCAAGTGACTGGGATTTGCCTTTTAGACTACTGGGCAAACTAAAGTAGATAATCCCTGGGAGCTGAGGGAAATTCAGTGTCTCTGTTGAATAAAAAGGTTGAAATAAAGATTTTTTCCTGAAAACACACCAGGTGTAAACCCCTCTTGTTTATTCTCATTTAGGTGCAGCATGCCAGCAAACAGATCACAGCTGAAATGCAGTACAAAGGAATCATGGACTGTGTTGTTAGAATCCCGAAGGAACAGGGCTTCCTGTCCTTTTGGAGAGGCAACCTGGCCAACGTCATCCGTTACTTCCCCACCCAAGCCCTCAACTTCGCTTTCAAAGACAAGTACAAGAAGATCTTCCTCGGTGGCGTGGATCAGAAGAAACAGTTCTGGCGTTACTTCGCCGGAAACCTGGCGTCCGGTGGTGCTGCTGGGGCCACTTCGCTTTGCTTCGTCTATCCGCTCGACTTCGCCAGGACGAGGCTGGCTGCTGACATCGGCAAGGGTACCGCAGAGAGGGAGTTTACCGGACTGGGTAACTGCATTACCAAGATATATAAAACAGATGGCCTCAAGGGTCTGTACCTGGGCTTCAATGTATCGGTGCAGGGCATCATCATCTACAGAGCGGCTTATTTCGGATGCTTCGACACAGCAAAAGGTGCACAAACCAACCATCAACCAGTGAAATGCCTCCATCTGCTGTATATGTGCATTTGTAATGCCTTAACTTCCCTCCTACAGGCATGCTGCCAGATCCCAAGAACACACACATCTTTGTCAGCTGGATGATTGCTCAGACTGTTACAGCTGCAGCAGGCCTGGTTTCCTATCCCTTCGACACCGTCAGACGTCGCATGATGATGCAGTCCGGGCGTAAAGGAGGTGAGTTTCTCCCTGCTTGCAGCAGTTATTGAATCAATGACCAATTCGAGATATTAATGTCGATGTTTAAATCTCCTCCCAGCTGATATCATGTACAAGGGCACAATCGACTGCTGGAAGAAGATCTTTAAAGATGAGGGAGGAAAGGCCTTCTTTAAGGGGGCATGGTCCAATGTGATCAGAGGCATGGGTGGCGCCTTTGTGCTGGTGCTCTATGATGAGATCAAGAAGTTCACCGTCTAAGAAGACACTCCCAACCCCTCAAGGAAACCCCTACACTTTATTAGTCTTATTTTTTTTGTGATATGGTCACACCGACCTGGTGAATTAGGAATCTGGGTTTGTAGGCTACCTCTTCTGTGCAGCAGCTATGAGGGGGCAGTGGATCGGTGTACCTGACCTGGGTTTACGCTTCATTGCACGTGTATATAAAAACCATCAACCATATACTAAAAGGATGTCTTTTAGTTTTAACAGCTGGTGTACATGATGTGATGAGACAGACTATAATACAGGCCAAATGCTTCTCCTGTTAGAGTAAAGGAGCAGTGGAGGCCCCTATGATATGCTGTGACTACTCTGACCCTTGTATTCCACCTCACACATTAATTTATTAAGAATAAAGACTGTCTATAATCCAGACTCTGTTGTCGTGACGATCATTGCTTTAGCTAACATGTTTGGCTTTCATTAATCGCTGTGTTAATGGGTAAACCTGACTAATAGAACCTCGTAATTAGTTAAAAACAAAAAAAACAACATAACATTAAAATAAGGTCCAAAAAGAGCAGCCCTTACAAATACAACATTACATTTACAAGCTTATTTAATTGTTGATATACCATTATGTCGCTAATGTGAAGACTAAGAAAATTGACCAATTGATCACTCACTCACTTCTTTGAATCTTTTATAGAACCACCTATTGTTTCAGCTACAGCTGAAAATCTTTTTAGGTTATCTTTCTACAAACTATACGTCTTCTTTCTTAGCTGAACAAGACGAGCATCCCCACATCATGATTGCGCTACCTTCGTGTTTGAATGTAGGAAATATGCAGTGTCAGGTGGACTGCTTTACAAACTATCCCTTAACTGTATTCCTGACCAGTCATGTTGTTCTTGATGTTCCTAATGATGGAAACCAAGGACAACATGGTAGAGGACTTCTCAAAGTGGCTTTTTTTGCTCGATCATATACAATTACAATAAAACATACCAACATATTTCTAATTTTCATGTTCTATCAGAATTAAAACCTTCAGATGATGCTGTATCCCAAAAACAACATAACAGCTATGTGATGCTCCATACATCTTATAGCTTTATGTCATCTTTTTACTACAGCCTGAAAAAAGAAAAATGTGTGACATATTTATTGGCTTTCAAACAATCATTTGGTAGAATAAAAAAACAAACAAAAAAACATCACATCTGTAAACAACATCCACTCCTTTTTCCGTTCAGATATTAAACAGCAGCAACATTAAAGTGAAGTGACAACTTACATGTTGAAGCCAAAATATCTGCTGCAAAAGTGATTGTATTTAAAGGTTAAACTAAGGTAATAATTTAAATGGCTTTGATATCAAAGCATAAACTGCAGCATAACTGAACAAAAAAAGAAAGCAAACAATAGAGCAGCTTTATTAAACAATATAAAAGCTAAAATGTCCTAAGCTTTGCAGCATATAAATTAATCAACATCAAATGGCAGGTAATGTGCTTTGAAAGAACCAAGATGCTCTTTATTAGATGAGTTTTTAACACCAGGCAGGACGACTTGAGCTCAGTTTGCTTGAGCTGGGAGCAGATGTTGAACTGGAATTAGGGTGAGCAGCCCTGGAGCTGAGTGCCGTGGAACTCCTTAATGCTGGGAGAGAGAAAGAGGAACCCTTTTAGCTCATTTAGACATAAACAGTTATCGTTTTCAGCACAAACATTTCTACAAGTGAGTTATATAGTCTGCAAGATTCAGAAAGTGTATTTAATCCTCATTGAGATATGATTTCTTGCACTATAATAAGATAGAGATGATCAAAATTAAAAAGCTATGAAACAGTAGGAAAATTAGCATGAAACAAGTGACTGATAAATGAACAAGTGATTCCCAGTAAGAGCTTGCAGCTGCTCCAAACGGCTTTAATGTCCTCTCTTTGAGGTAATTAAATCTCTGCAGCCATCTGGATGCAGCAGCTCAGATGTATCATAAAACCTGCAGCTTGACTTTATGAAGACTGCTGATGATCCTCCTTTTCTCTGATTTAAAATCAACAATCCCCATGAGCACCGCATGCAACAAAAAAGTGGACCTACAAAGTATTAACTGCAGACTTAATGTCCACCACATGCTTTATTTCTTTCTATGGGCGAAAAAGTTGTCATTAAATAGTTAAACACACTGATCATGATCAGCTATGAAGAAATTTACCAGAGGATGTATTTCTGGTCCTACTGCAAGAGATCCTAGAGGCAGGATATGACGAAGCACCCACATATCCCTTCAGGCGCTGGTGGTCTGCCAGAAGTTTGGTTCGGCTAAGCCAAGGTGAGGGTTTGGTGGACTCTAGCTTCTTAAGAAGAGCCTGTAAGAAACAACAAGACCTTTATTCACTAACATCCTGCTAATAAATAGGCATTAATTATTTACACTAAACATTCTAAAAAGCGAGGGTGTTGGTGTCTTTAAATATACATTTAGCTCCTCTAGTTTAACCTATATGGAATAAGAGGTTTTATAGTTTTTTATCTATTTCACGTTTACTAGCATTAACATCTACATTAAAAGTTCCTCCAAAAAAAACATATTTGGGCAAATTATTGACCATTATCATATATATATATATATATATATATATATATATATATATATATATATATATATATATATATATATATATACACACAAATAAAAAGCATTAATTTTGCTCCAACATGGTTAAGCGAGAATAGTTTGGTTTGTTTTCATTATACGTAAATCAAATTAGATTTGACAAATAAAAAGGTAGGATGAATAATTTGCCCTGTATAAAAATTATTTGGACTCAAACTTGTTTAATAATATTAGCTTTTAAAAAAAAAAAAAAAAAAAAAACTGTCTGTAGAAAAATGCATATACAGTAAAAAGTCCACACATGTAATATGCGCAAATTGAGTACCACAGGGTCCCAGTATATTGCACACACGAGAGTTTACTCTTTCTCTCTCTCTTAAGGTTTATTTATTTCAATTAAATACACCTTAACTGTAATAAGTAATGAGATTTATTATTATTACTGTATGGTTTTATAAGTTTTATTCACTCAATGGCCTTAAAATATATTGATCTCTTCAGAAGCTCCTTAAAGTTAATATACCAGTTGCATTTTTAGTCCTTTATAAATGTTACATGTGTGATGTTCAGGGGAAAACACTGATCACACGGCAGATTCAATTACTCCTCTCTAAGAATAGAGGAGGCAAAGAGCACTCCTCACAAGATGGAGTTTGGAGAGAACAGTTAGTCCAAAAAATGACTAAAACTCCTCCTATATTGACAACCTTTGTCATCTTTAATCAATAACTAATATAACCTTTAATCAACACATGGAATAAAAGCATTAAACAAAAAAAATAAAGGGGATTATCACCGCAGCACACCATTAGCTGCCAGCTACTAATTTCTCTGTTTCCAGACAGATTCAGTAGCAGTGCCAATAATGTTAATTTGATTTAAATGCTAAATACTATAGTTAAAAGATGAAATATGAAGGGACTGGATACATCTGCAGTCTGAAAGGTCTCATAACGTGTCTCAGCAGCTCCGCTGCAAGCTGCCACCTGCTGCCATCTGTCATAGTTCATCAGTATCTGCTTTCAGGGGTCCCCATTTATGGAGGCAGACATCTTTGAACTACGGAAGCACAGAGCTGACAAACTAGTTACTGTAGAGAACGACATTACACTTGAATGTGAATCCAGCAAGTTAGGCCTGTGTAAAATGTATATACTGCACAGACTAATTAAAATCTCTAATACGATCTATGCAAACAAACCTTGTCATCAGTCAACAGAATAGGTGATGCGGATGTTGGGAAAGCTGCAGTCTGACCATTAGATATTGCTGACAATTGTGATAAAAAAAATAAAAAAAAAGAGAACAAAAAACGAAACCGGTTCACCCTCTAAAAGGAAGCATTTCTATTGGTTTCATGTTATAGGAAACTAACCTGCAATACTTTAAGATAAAACAATGAATAAACCTTTCAGTACAATAAAACATGCTTTGTTATTTAATGCTAAAGCCACAATAACTAATGATCAACACGAGACAACAGAAAGCTTAGACATTTTTTAGCTGCATCAGGCCGTCTATTCTGATTCTATAAATAAAATCAAACTGAAATTCCATCAAATTTGAAGACAACAATATAAATTTAGGAGAGAATCAACACAGAGAGGCATAAAATAATTACATCTAAGGCTCCGAGATTAACTCTGAGTGGAATCAATGACCAGCCTCTATGAGAAAATAAACACTAAGAGAATGCTGTCATAGTAAACCTGCTGCAAATCAAAGGCCTTCCCAAATCTAGTCTGGCAGGAAACAAGTTGCCGCCCATGTGTAGGGCCCTATAAAATCCGTTTTATATTTTCCCAAATTCCGTTTAATTTTTTCCCAAATTCCGCTTGTTTTGGTTTTAATTTTTGAAAATTCCGCTTTTTACGTTTTATGTATGAATTTCTGCGCTTCCAGTCAATGGAATGTTGACAAAATTTGCAAAACAATTGTTCACCTGACACGTAAAAGTATCGAGGGAACTGCTCAGCTCTGTACTCAGGGCTTAGCGCCGTGTTTCTCAACTTTTTCGCTGAAAGTGGAGCTGTGGAGAGCCGCTTCGCCATTTTTTCAATGTTTTGATGGGGGATGGTGAGCGGAAATGATGGAGCGGGAGGGGTTGTGTCGACCAGATTTGCGTCCCCTGGTGTGCATTTCCTCCGACGTACGTTCTTCTCCCACACAAAAACAGAATTTCATTTCAATTGTAGAAATTCCGCGTTTACACTAGATTCCGCATTCATTTGCCAGTTCCCCGATTCCGTGATCGCGGAAATTATAGGGCCCTAAATGTGAAAAGACAACAGGATAATACAGTCCCCAGTTAAGGCCACAACCTCCCTCTTACACAGTGGAGAGATAGAATTAGAAAAGTCTAGATTATGGAAAAAGCAACATCAAGACCACAATTTAAGATTGAGACCTTTGAAACAAAAAGGTAGCCTAGTAAACTGACCCCAACTGACTGTGTTTTGAATTTTTGGATGAAAAGCGGGTGGAGTTTTGAGGGTGTGACAACAAAGCTGCGCGACACTGGAGAAAGCACAAGGAAGATGGCAACAACTATTGAACAGTAGCATGCTCTGCGGCAGCAGCAGCTTTCAATGGAGCGCTCTATTGAAAGTTAAAAGTTCTCTTTTCTGTTGCTGTAGTTCAATAAAAGTACATTTTAAGATCATTTGAGGCCAGAATATTATACTTTAAAGTGTCACTATATGGTCCATTTAGCGATTTAATGCAGAATTAAAAAAACAATTTCCAAAGTTGAGAGGACCGCGGCAACCAGTGGAGCTCTGAGGCTAACGGCAGCCAGGGCTAACCGCAGCCCGTCTGCAGTGGCCCTGTCTTGGCATAGTCATGTGTGAAGGAACGCTGGCTCTGATGGCGATTTCTGACTCAGCTTTGGAATCAGTTTTGGAAGCATTAGGCTTGAGGTTTTCGTGGAAATGTGAGCAGGAAGAGGCTTTACGCTCATTAGTTTTTAAGAAGGACGTATTCGCAGTTTTACAGACACAATGTTTGTTGAAAAGCCTCAAAAGCAAAATTTAAAGGGGGTCTTAAATTGTGTAAAAAAATTTTTTAAATAAAATATTTTTTTGTCACTAAATGTTTTTGTAATGATCTCAGAATATTGGACCCAGAACAGCGAACAGCGAGACAGGCAGTGGTAAAGTTCAAAGCGTTTATTTAATAACAGGTGCGCAGGGCTGCTCGTCTGCTGCGGGGCGGATCTCTGATTCAAATTTCAGTTCGTTCACGGAGAACATCAGAATCCCGGAGGGTTTGACCGCAGTTGCAGCGGGCTTTGCCCCCCAGAGTTCCTAGAGAGCGAGCGGAGCTCGTTCCTAGAGAGTTCCTGGGCGAGCGCCAGCCAACGCCGAGCAGCAACAGTCCAGAAGGGAAATCCAAGGCCGAAGTCAGAAGACAGTTCCAGGTTCAGAAGCCGGTAGAATCCAGAACCAGATACCACAAACAGAGCAGACAGGGGCAAGGCAAAACTCGAGATCCTCAGGGCAGAAACTGGTCACAATCGGGAATACAGACAGACTAAAGATTGCTAGGTAACGTCTCACAAAAACACACGAATAACCTGGCGCTGATGGGAGGCAAGCACACAACCTAAATAGGGGAAGAACCAGGTTGAAATGATCGGCGATAATCAGCCGCAGAACCAGTTAGACAGGGGAGAAAGGAGCAAAGGAAAAAACCAAACCATCAGCGCCAAGATTATGACAGTTTTTAAGCTCAACATGTCCAGTATTTAAAATTCAAAACATTTATTCACAAATATGTTCTGTTTTTTGCCAAGTGCAGCCAGCCAATCCTGCTCGCGTATGCAAATTAGCCATGTGCTTTTCCGCAGTTAATAACACGGGCAACGCGGAACAGATTGCGCAAAGACAGCAGGTCTTCACTCCTGTTTGTGGACATCAACGGACCTCCTCTGGACAAATTCAACCCAGTTTCATTTGTCAGAAACTGGATTAAAGCAGGACATGTACGTGCATGAAAGAGAGAGACAGACAAAGAGACAGACAGACAGACAGTCTTTCTGCGTGCGTGTGTTTTCATAGACTGACTGTCTGTTCAGGCTCTTGCCCGCTGCACCAGATTCACAGAAAGCTTCATCCACCAAGCTGTCAGGAAGCTGAGCCCCCCCCAAAAAAAATCACCCCAGACAAACTGTCTCCTGCACTACTATTTACTATATTTATTTACTGTTCTTTTGCACTGTTGTTACTGTTACAAATACTATATTATATGGTATTTGTAACAGTAATTATATAATAATAATAATAATTATTATTATTGTTATTATTGTTATTATTTTTTTTATTTTTCTGCTGGCATTACCATCTGCCTTTTTGCACTAGCATAAGTATTGCATATTTTATATTATTGTACATTTTATATTTTATTGTGAAACTGAATGTTTAAATTTTAGTATTAGGAACTGATCTTATCTGTTGTGCCTGTGCACTTTATCTGTTTCACTGTTGGTGCATGAGAAACATCCTCTTGAGTCCTTGTGTGTCTGGTGAATGTAAAGAATTGACATTAAAGCTGACTTTGAAATGTTATAGGCCTACTGCATATTGAGAAAATTTAGATCGGTATTGCGCAACAATCGGGAGATGGGGACCCCCCCAAATAATCACAGGTATTTCGCACACTGATGGAGACCTATAACTAAATTCACATTGTAACCTTGACACCTCTATTTATTAATTTATTTGCCTTTGTACTTTTTAAATTTATTATGTATTATTATTACTGGGTACTTTTTTTACTTTAGACTTTATTTTCATTATCAGGGTTCCTACAGCATAAGGCAAGTTAAATTCAAGACTTTTTAATGCCACCTGAAATAAAAATCTAAGACCAAATTCACAAGAAACAGAAGAAAAACTTAACCCAACTTAACCCAAAGGTTTATTATAACATAAACCACTGCACTAATGTTTCAAATTTTGAAAAGTTTCCCATACAGGTAGAAAGCTAAAAACACACAAATGACAGATATATTTTAACAATTATTTAACTGAATTCACAAACTTTGTTTTGGCAGGGAACAAAACAAATCAGTTTTAAAGCCACAACATAACCAGTGCTAAGACTTTTTTGCAGCTATTTTTCTTTGTATCGTTTTCTTAGTATGTTTGATTTGGTGATAAGTGGAGGTGTTGCAGAGACAAGGGTGAAACAAAACTGAGAAATACCGGCTGTTTCTCGGTAACTCGATTTTGATGCTTTGTGTTTCGCGCTTCGCATGTGACTCCACTACCTTAATTCCCTTCATTCCAAGCTTGAATCACTTCTTGCACAAAATACACTGTGCCTAATGTGTGTTCTCTGATACTGGTTTTAACCATGGAGAAAACTCTTGGCTGGAGCCAATTTTCGTTACATTTACACTTGCTCATATTTTCCAGACAAAAGGTAAATGGCGCATTTCCCAAATGTCCCGGCCGTAGCCCCGTTTTTATCGGTTCCGCTATCGCGACGGAACAAATAATGGCAAGCCATTATTGTTTTTAAATAAAAAAAAAAGGTAAATTTTAAAGTTTTATTTAGATTACAAAAATAAATCATAATAAAAATAATCCTATTTATGATGTTTTAAAAATTAAGACCTACGAAAGACTGATGAAAGACATTTTAATACCAATTAATTCCTTAGTTTTATTTTGAAGAATTCAATGCCTTTTAAGACTTTCTAAGGACCCGCGGGAACCCTGATTATGTCTACTATTGTCCTTTTCACTGCAATCATTGTGATTTATATATCCATGGATGCTTTTAATGAGTATATGTTTCTCTTAATGGGGCTAATGTCTGAAGGAAAAGTGTCTCTGTTTGACTGTCTACTCCATCTATAATCCCTAAATAACGTTTGGCAGAGCTGGAAATTTAACAGCCTGTTTGCTTGGCGCAGGTGGAATGTCTGAAAGAATTGGAGTAAATAAGATGCTAAGGACCCAGCTACAGACACTCTCACACATTCATGGTATTCTCTGAAGATCTCAACAGCCCTTTCTCTTTGCTAACCTCCTCCAATTGTATCAGTTCATTTATTTAGGACCACTTGCAACCATCTGGAGTGCATGAGGCATCTAAGGAATTCAAAGGAAGCTATTTGTCTGATGCTGATCTTCGTATTTAAAAGAGAAAATGCAAGGAAACCCCTTTTGCTTTATTTTATCAAATATCTTGTTCTCCTCCTCATCCACCAAAAACGTTTTTAACAATCTGGTGAAATATTTCACAAGTTTAATTTGATGTTAATAATGGAAACAGAAAATGTCAGTTACTAAAATTTAAATTTAAGCCATCCAATTAATGCGGAATGAGGGGAATAAGTACCAAACAGTCAATGTTAAACAACTCACCAGGTTCTCCTCGTCGATGCGGCGCTGTTTACGCTGCCGGTTTAGCGCGCTGTGTGGAAGGTAAACCACTGGTGATATATTGGGCTCATTAATTTTCTTCCTTGCCTTTTTTTCCAATCTGATCCCTGAATAAGCATTTGAAATCCTCTGAAGAAGTCGTTGGTTCTCAAGATCTATGCGTTGGACCTCGGTTCTGGAAAAGGTGTAGTTCTTCCCGGGCCTTCTTATTGGACTTTGGAGCACCAGCTTCTTCTCAAGTTGACTTTCCAACCTAAATGAGCCTGAGTGAGAGCAAGAGCATCAGTCCAGCTGGTGTTCCTTCATCTTTAATAATAAGGATTCTTCAAATATAAAATAATGGCAATAATTAAGGAAAACAAAAATACTAAACTAATATGTCAAGAAGCGCAGTCTTTAGTCACACAGCCCATTTTTACATTTGTCATGGTACAACAAAAAGTTGAATATTTTAGAGTTTAATTTATTAAAAGTCTAAACAGATTTGTGGAAAATAAGATCCGTCCTGTTTTTTACTTATTTTTTAATAAACAGATATCTGTAAACAATGGATTGCATTTATACTTGCCCGCTTATTTCACATACCTCTTAATAAAATGACTAAAGAAAATGGCTGAAACTATTAACTGTGGTTGAACAATTATTGAAATAATAACTGAAGTATTCAGACTCTTGGGAGAAAAAAAGCTGAAATGTGTAAATTGAATCATTTATAAAGCAAACAGTTATTTGTGCACTTCACTGATCTCACCGATCTAGAGGAGGAGTTTTAAAAAAGCCAGACAATGTTGGTGTGCACTTAGCCAGAAGCAGACAGGATCAAGAGGGCAGTCGTTTCAAATAAGACCTAAAACACCATTCCCATCATCAAACACGGTGGTGGCAGCACATGCTGCAGGGACTGTTGATCCAAATCTGTTTCTATCTAAAGGTTCTGAGACAGTGATGTTTTCTCTTCCCTCCAAAGTAAAGAGATAAACTAACCTTGACAGAACCAAGTATGTATCATTTTTATGTGAAATCCGACAGCTGTTGAACCATGTCTCCATTTTGTACATCTGCCTTAAAAATAAATCAGAGAAAAAGAAGGAATAGTCTCTCTTACTCACATTCATACCCATCTGTATTCAGGTCTGCCTCTTGTGAACCAGGTTCAGGAGAGAAGGGGGGGGTCACCTCTGACACCAAGCTTGACTCATCTGTACTCCAGTTGGGCAAATCCTGGGATTCAGCTGGGCCTCTAGCTTTACGCCGTACAGACTTGATAGGTTTGGAGTGTGAATTACCACTCTGAGTGCTGCAACAACTCTCAGAGTCTATGTTGGCCTCCTTTGAAACAGAAGCTACATTTTTGGATTTCTTTCTAAGAAACTTTGGATTCTTCTTTCTTGACTCGGCAGTGAATGCTAAGGCACCTTTGCCTGTTTCTGTTACGCTCTGGTTTTCCTCTGCGTTTGGCATGTTTGCCAGCAAAGCCAGAAAAGCCCCGCTGGGTCTTTTAGAGTGAGGATTTGAGCCTTCATGTTTGGCTTCATTTGGGTAAGATGATACATCAGATTTCTGGCCCGTCTTGTTTATTTCCACTTGTCTCAAGTGCGTCCCTGTTCTTTCATTCCCCGGGGAAAGTTCAACAGCAAGATGTTCAGGAGGTTTTGCAGGTTCCCAGTTATGTGTGCCTGGGTTCTGCTTTTCCCCCTTCAAGTCCTCCTCTATTGTTTTCTGTCCAACATTGCTGTCGTCGTGGCAATCACTGTCAAAAAAGCTGTGATCCACCTCACCTTCTAGCTCATCAGGGTTCAACATAACAGCCCTCTCTCATGGACAGAACCTGCAAGATATTACAGGAACAAATAAATAATAAATTCAGGTTTGAAAAACATGAGGAATTGGTAAGCACGCTTTAGCCAAAGCAGGTGCCATGATAAGTGCTGTCCGTGTAGCGATGGCAACAAAGACGCGGTAGGAAAAGAAGCTTTTATGCTTCCTATCATAGTTCCTTCAGCAAAGGGAGCTTGTGAGGTCACTCACTGGTGCTAAAGAGCTACAAGGTATCCATCAAGCCTATATGCAGCATTTAGACACAGATCACCTCAGGAAAATAACAAAAAGACATTATTGCTTCACATGACATATTATTGTAAGAACTTGTGTTTTGGTTTTCATTAAATTTTTCTACACCAGATTTCTTCTAATCCAGTACAAGCACTGATATTTTAGAACTTGTCGGTACTAAGTATCGATACAAGTGCTATCCTTTGTCCAATAGAAAATGTTTGATCTTATTTTTTTTTTCAAATGCTAAGTTGACAAATTCAGACTTTTACCTTGGATCCAGTACAGCTTAGCTGCAGTATAGGGGGCTTTTTCCAACAGGGAAGAGCGTTTCGATAGCTGCAGCTCGGGCAACCTTATAGAAGTGGTATCGGTTCAGAGTATCAAGTTGTTTGTACGAGTACAACTACTTGGCACTTGTATTTGGTCCAATAATAATATCAGTATAAGTATCAGTGCATCCATTGTTTTTATAATAGAGAGCTTCTTCCTTTTGTTAATTTCTTGTAGCTTCTTTTTCCAGAAGGCTGCAGTCCTAGATTTTGACAAGCATCATCCCTTTAAGTGTTTCAGTCAATCAGAAGCTCCTTCCCTTCCCTATGATAAGAGTTCATACTGTAAAAACCCTTTGGTGGGGTTTAACAGTACAAATATATATATATATATATTTAATTCAGCAACAATTAGATGAAATCAGACACGGCCAGTGTATCCAGAGTTCTTCAGGTTCGCTGTAAAACAGGAGATACTTCCTGCATACATCTATTAACATCGACAACAGATTGTTAAAAAAAAAAAAAATCCCTTTATATCCCTTTGACCTCAGTAAAATATTTCTGAATCATCGCTGTTAACCAGTTAAGTCATTTTTGATTAAATATAAAAAGGATATTGATACCACCTGCACTTTCTGTGTCAGTTACTCTGAGTCTGTCTCTCACCTGTTTTGGTGCTGCGAGTACACCAGGCGTCCATGGCAAGGTATTTGTCACTAAAATCTGGACAATATTTCCGACAAAAAATTTGAGCTTTAAATTAAGGATGTTTTATTTGGATTTACAGAATAAAAAAAGAACTCTCTGACCATTTATTTTTATGTAATCTGTTGCTTCTCTTGGCCAAATTTGTTATCCATAAATGTAAAATTACTATGACTAAACCCTCATGTATTTCTTTCTTAAAGGAAGCAACTACATTATCCTCTTCCAATAACAAAAAAGGCTGTTAAAACTTTATCTCTATGCTCAAAATTCAAAATATTTATGTAATCCCCTTATATCCTTCTATGTCTTCAGTTTACTATTTTTACGTTTATTCAGTTATTTTTTTAATTTATTATTACTATTTTTGTTCAAAACCCTGAAGATTGTTCTTTGGAAATTGTACTTATATCTTCTTGTAGTACAAAATTCTTAATAGTTTTAAAAAACAAAGAAGTATTACTGAATTGAGCTCTGTGGATCTTGCTGAAAAACTGCTGCCTTTCAGGTTCGGGATATTTGTGGGAAAAATCAGCTTTGAGAGAAACGATTTGAAGAGTTGAGAGAACTTAAAAACACACACATTTTAACCTCACGTCACTTGGCGTTTCCAGACGTTAAACTGTTGTTATCATAGTCACAGCAGGGTGGAATAATTCAATTACATTTTGTTATTTATATTAGAAAAATGCTAAAAGTCGGTATCTAAACTCCGGGAAACACACGACGGTTGGCAGACATAACTGAAGCTAAGCCGGACACGGGCTGTACCGTAACAGGGTTTTTTCCTCTTCAATGGAGACTCGCATGTGTTCAGGTCTGAGCTGTAGAGAAAGCAGACGGCCTGGGTTTTAAGAAAACAAACACCTTTTGCTTCTGAAAACACAAAGTCAACAGGGCACGAAGACACATAAACAGAGGACGCAGCTAGTAGCTACGTGATGACGTTCCCTGGTAACGGTTACGCTGTGACCGGAACTATGGTTTGAAATTCAAAATAAAACCAATGCAAAAAAAAAAAAAAAAAAAAAATGATAAACTGAAAGGAAAAATGCTGTTAAAATATTCTATGCATGGTTAGAATAGAATAGATATCTAATGAAGAGAAAGAAAAAATGTAATGATTTTTACATTTTATTTCAGAATAATATGGGAAAATTCTGAATTGTGGGATTAAATTCAGAATTCTGAGATTAAAGTCAGAATTCTTACTTATATATATATATATATATATATATATATATATATATATATATATATATATATATAAAATTTTTAAATCAGTTAACTCTTTTTTTTTTTTCAGTGGCCCTAATCCTCCTCCGTAGTTATCATTTAAATGTTTTTTCTTTTTAGATAATGGGTCAATAAGGCTATATTTGTGTTAAGAACAAATGTTGTCTAGGATATTTTTTCCCGTTTTAAAAATCTGTGCAAGATGTTTCTGTCTACCATGATGCTATATTCATACCTGATAAACAAATTTAGAAAAAGTACTGACCATTTTCTCCAATGTCTTAGAAAAGCTTTATAAAAGACATGTGGAATTGCTCTACTGAATACACTGAAATCAGACCTTCCTTAAAAGGGTTTAAATAAATATTAATAAAAACATGATATACAAAACACTAGTATTTTTTTCCTCTAATAAATCCATCCCCCCCAGAGAACATCGGGAGCATCTTATTCAGCAATAAAGGTAATTATCTGACGTAACGTCCCCTGAAGTCGGACATTGTCGTGGTTCTACTCTTTATTAAACACTAATGTGATGCATGGTCATGAGCTACCAATGTGCTATGTCAACTGCACTTAGGGCAATCTGCGCATTAAACCTGACGGACGACCATCATAGAAAAAAAACCAAAGACATAAGGTAGAGATGGCGACTAACTGAAGGACATTTTTGCATCAGGTTCAAAGCTCTTAGAAATGGAACTCTGATTGAACAAGGAAATTTTCCATCATCTATCGCTTGTCTGTCAAGGAGGCCGGCCCATCAACAGTCTACGGGTGAAAGGCAGGATCCACTCTGGACAGGCTGTCAGTTCATCTCAGAGCAACACACGTGTGTGTGTGTGTGTGTGTGTGTGTATATATATATATATACATACACACACAACCCTGCACACACAACCTACCTAACAGCAATTTACAGTAAATAATTAAGCTAACTGTCATGTTTTTTGACTGTGGGAGGAAAGTGCCTGAATATAACCCCTACATGCACTTTGAGAACTTGCAAACTTTTATGCAATTGGTTAAGCTAAGTAAGGCAGATTTGAGAGGATCAGTGGACATCATGTTTCAGGTCTTGAAACAGACTGTTGAACAAGAAAAGCATCCACACAGGTTGATGTGTTTCATCGCAGGGATTTTCTTTTGCAAAATAGTTCAAGTTCTGTCCCACTGTAGCTACACACATAAATTGATTGAAGTCTGAACCTTGACTGGGATAATTTAAATCATGGATATGTTTAATTCAAAAATGCTTTCAGACACCCTATGGTCTATAACAGAGGTAACCAATTAAAAATCAGTGGGGTCCGAATAAAGAAAATCATCAACCAGTAAAGATCCGAAGACATTTTTAATTATAATCTGTTAATTTAAACAGAAATAAACACTGAAATAAAATGAGGCGTTTATGCATCCATGTTATACATTTAATTTTTAACTAATAAATATATAAAACTAAATGGAACACTTTTCAATTTTTTAATCTAAGGTGTTTTTTTAAGTAGAGAACAACAATCGTTCAGTTTTGTACATAGACAATATTTTATAAAACACCTGAACTGACCATTTGTCATTTTATTTATTTATTTTTTTATAGCTTAATGAGAGCAGTGGGCTTTAGGCTGCCCTGCAAGCCTTTAAACCTGGGTTTGATTGGCAACAAAGACATTCTCAACACATATCAAGGTGCTCATTTGTGAGCCTGGATCTCTATATTTGATCATGGTCATGGTGGAGAATCCGGATTCACAGCAGCAGGTTGAGCCAAACATACTCAAAATGTGCAGGGTCATCTTTGAACACACATTTCACTTTTCTTTCACCAGTTCACAGCGGTTCTTCAAAGTCTACACTTTCTCTGCTTTCATTTTCCCATCTTCTCCTTCTTTCCCATCGCCCGGCATGCCACAGGTTTTCCTGCTGTGTCTAAAAGTGGCTCGCAACATTGACAGTTCATTGGCTAATTTGTATCACATGTAGCCTGGTCCAGACGCTCCGGAAGGCTTTACCATATTAGAAATTTGAAGTTAGATACAGACGTTGGACAACATGCAGTAATTTATAAATGTTTTAAATCAGGTTGGGTCTGCTAATCAGTGAGTCTGGTCTACAATAATCAAATATCTACAAATTAACTTTTAAACAACTTTTAAAACTGAACCTCACCGACTGTATAAAGGCATCCCAGTATTATAGCAATTAGTACAGGCAAAGAAATATAACAGAAAGCAGTCCTATTCTTGCGTCGCAGAAATAAACTAACTTCCTAAACCTCTACTCACAGGAACTTACCCAGATTACCAAATAATCTCACAAAGATCTAAGGTAAAGCTATATCTTTAATGACTATTTGAGAGAGCACATCAGTATCCATAACAAATGAGACAATTCTTTGAAATAGAAATAGACAAAATGCATTTCTGGTTATGTGATGACTAGCTTGGCAAATCCAGTTTAAATTACCGGTAAGAAACCTGGATTTATATTTTCAGCCTTTAACCATTGTTAAGTGAAATTCATCTGAAAGTCTATTTCAGCTCAAATCACTCTTGGCCTCTGGGGTAAACACAGGTTGTAATATGCAGTTTGATCCCAAAAGTCTGGTCCTTTCCAGCCACACCAGCCCTGTGGAAGACAACATTCAAATAAAAATCAGGACCTGCATATCAATTCTTATCAAATTAGCTGAGAAATCTGCTGGCCGTCTCACCTTATCTGTAATAACCTGAAGATCCTCTGCTCCGGTATAATGTGGATCCAGGATGAGATAGCGGATTTCACCAGTGGTCTCACTCCAAGCTACGCCCAGGATAGTGTGAGCCAAAACTCCCCCACCTATAAAACACAAAATAAAAAGAGAAACATTGAAAAACTTTAGCTGGGGTTTCTAAATAATATTTTTCATAAATTTAAACACATTTTAACTGAACAAAATACTTATTTCTGGGATTTCAGGATTTAAAACAAACATTGCATTAAGAGACTCAAACTAATGTGGTTTTAATGTATCAGCTCACCAATCATGACTGGGGTTCCTTCAGACAGAAAGTGATTGGCCAGTTCTCTTCCCTTGGAAGCCAATTCAGATCCCTGACTGAAGATGACAGAAGAAAGTTGATTATTCTACAACATTGAAGAGGAATATTCTCTAAGAGGCTGTGTAAAGGAACGCAACCCAACCTCACAAACATGATTTTCGACGTGACTCCAAGCAGCTGGTCTAGAACAGCCTGAACCTCAATGGATCCAATCCACTGACGGGACCCCACAAAGGACGCCTGCTTGTCTCCAACATCCACCAAAGCCTGGAAAACAAGAACGCCAGTTAAACTTTGACATTTTAAACACCACAACTGGGCAAATTTAAGAGGAAAATATTCTTTCAACCAGAAACCCTAAAAAAGTACTAAAGTTAAATTTGTTCATTTTAAAAGAGAAGTTGGAGGTTTTTTGAAAGCACAATGTATAATAGCGATGTTTCCTCAATGTTAGACAGAAAATGTCTCTACCAAAATATCTTTGAGATATGATTGGCAACACAGAAAAGGATGCATTGAGTTTGTACACTTTGCAAGAAAGATCCGATACCCAGGATGAGATTGAGAGGGATTAAGGAATGATGGATAGGTGAATGGGACATCTGAAATTAATTTAAATTTAATTTCTCTCTGTCAACACAAACATCTGTTAACCTCCATGGATCTTTTTAACTAAACAAATCAGCAACAGCTCCATCCAGATGTTTGCTTTGCATATCAATACATTTCATCAGCTGCAGTAGTATTTTTCTCAGTGCCTACAGTACAAACACCACAGATATTGCAAATCAGAATTTAATATCCTCCCCGTCTTCCCAAAAGGGATTTTTAAGAGCAATATGCCATGTTGTTACATAACTCAAACTCTATAATACTTATAGATTTCAAGTTACATAACAGTACGTCCTTAGAATAGCATTTACGCACAGAGCAGTTAAATCCTCATAGATAAAACATGGACTAATTCTATGTTGAAAAGCAAAAATTTGAGAGGCCTCAATATTTTACACAATGGTGGTGTGGGCCTCTAATACTACATCTAATACTACATGATGCTGATGCGAACTGGAGCAGGAATCCTAACATCTCTGAATCCTGACAGATTTAATCTTTCCTTTTTTGTTTAAATTAGCGCTACATAAAAAATACTGTTGATACTAGAAATATGGAAATTGACAGATTTCTGCATGAAGGGATCTTTTAATTTTACCCTTTGTGTAAATTTTTATTTTTTAACTAACTGAAAGTAAAAGTAATGCTGCACATTAGGGTGATGATGACTAGGAGGCCTTCAACCTAAAAAGCTCATCAAAGACAGATTTTACTTATAATTTACTAGCAGAAACATGGCAAAAATTTGGCCAGCAATAAAAAGGTTCTGACTCCTGTTTTCTCAATGAAAATAGTCTGTGATGATTAAGAAAGGTATAACTTTTTTGAAAAAATAAAAACCAAAAATTCTATTTTAATCTTTTTTGATGTAACTCTATGGTTGTCTATTATTATCACTCAGAGAAGCCTTTTGAATTTCTCATCAAAAGCAAATGCTTTGATTTAGTCAACCTGTATGTAGGTAGACAGGAATTTCTATTGAGCAATATAAATCCTAAGGCAGGATGTAGTTGTAAAAGAGGAAAAAGGGAAACACTGTTAAACTGGGATATTTTCCACTCATAAAACCCAGCATACATGCAGATATGCTTCAATGGGAATCAGATTAATAAACAGGGTCAACCTGCTGGATCTCCTTGTGAGTGGGAACGCATCTCTCTACATAACCCTGCTGCTTGAACCAGGAGCAGATGGTCTGCAGGGACCGATAGGCACAGCCCCACCCATTGTCATCCATGCGGTCCTGCATATAGTGGTGGTAGCTGTAAATTCCCTGGACCAGGTATACCTTAAGAAAAAAAAACAAAAACATTAACACTGCCTTCTCCTGAGTTCTGATTTGTTGTAGTGTAACAACACTAAAAACTTTAAAAAGATGCAAAACATTATTATTGCTTTGTGAATTTACCTTCCCATTGTCAAGGGCAGGGTGAGTGAGAACCGCATGAGGGTTTCGGAGATACCCGTCTTTGTAAGGCTCATTAGGAAAGTGAAAAGTGTTTGCTCTTCTGAAGTATGGCTTGTCATCAGGAAGCTCAAACTGTTTATGAAGCTCCTGTTTTGTGAAAAGTATATTATTGTCACTGCCTGCTGAAATTTGTTTTACTTATCAGACCAGACTGTTGATGGTGATAAAACTGTACCCTGCGCTGTGCTTCCAACTCTTTATCTGGCAGATCTCTGGGAAAGACCACCGTCACCAGCCCGTTTGGCTCTGGAAGGAGGAAGTGAAGGGGCTCTGGGACAAGCACCATCGTCCCCCTCATATGTTGGAGAAACACCTTCTCCATCTCAAACAGCTGGCGAGTCAGTGCCTCCAGCAGTCGTCCACAGCCACTACAGAACCAGACAAGAAAACTTTCACTATTAGACAAACATTTTATTAAAGCTGAACCAGTGGCAACCCCAACATTATGCTATTTTTTTATATATTCCAATTAGCAACATGAAGTCAAATGTCTTTTAGATAAGACCTACTCTTTAATGGGGTCGCTGCAGCTGCTGCAGACAGCACAGTCCACTTGAAGAGTTGCGCAGAGAAAGTGGGACCTCTGGACGGTTTTAGTGAGGATCGGAGCAGAGAGAGGGCCTGGCTTCGTCACCTCCGTCATCAGGGAGAAGTTTAAGACACTCTAAGGAAAATACTTCAATCATTCACCAGCTCTGATTCCATCCCCAATCCCAAAAAGTGCATCTTTGCTGAGAACAATGCAACATTTGAAAACCTGATCTACATTCAGGAACTTGTGCTCCTGAAACTGTACATTAGTAATTTCAGAATCATTGCAATGAACCCAGCTAGCTCCTGCTGATGTTTTTATCCATTGCATTAACACCAAAAAGCTATGCTAACATTAGTAGGGTTCATGAACAGCTTTAAAAAGCTGGTGTTCTGTGAATTTTAGCAGGAGTGTACCAATTAGCAAAAACAAAACAAAAATGTTTATTTTAACTTTAAAGCTACAGTGTGTAACTTTTAGCGACATCTAGCGGTCAGACTGCAGACTGCAGCAACATGAACATCTCCCCCCCACCGCTTCTCCCCCCCAACAGTACGGTGAACGTTACGGGACAAAATGTCTTCTACGACGTCCGCATCACCTACCTTCTCAAGTGATGAGGTTTGTTTACATAGATCATTTTACAGATAGTATTTCATTAGTCTGTGTAGGGTATAGATTTCATGTAGACTTAAGATAATAAATATATCCGTTATTTTTTCTACATCGTTGTGACGTTTTGGCGATCTCGCAATCGCTAGTTTGTTGGCTCTGCGCTGCCGTAGCGCAAAGATGTCTGCCTCCATGGCTGCGAGACCTGCTCCTATGTAATTCTAAATAACGAATTCTAAGGCAACGCAAATATTAAGGTTAAGAGGCTGAGCTCGTAGATGATGATAAATAACATAGTTATGTATAATATATTACATTTCTGACTGTATATCCCTGTAATTATTACACACTGTAGCTTTAACAAAAGAAAATCAGCTTTGATTATACTGTTATTTCTTGGATGTTGAAAGAAATGATTGAAGTTTCCGGGATGATGAGAGAAGAAGCCTCTATAGTTAAAGCCATATTAGTCAATATTAATTTAAAATAAGTTACTTTTATAGTATAAAAAAAAAAAACCTGTGTACGGGATTTTAAATTTGGTTAAATTTTGTTTTCATGTTTAAAATCATAGAAAACATTGGCTGTGGTTTATTATTGTTACTTGGAATTCATTCAGTTTGGATAAAAACTAAGCCTATGCCAATCTGACAGTGTATGCCGTTCAGAAAGAACGCTGGCTTTATAAGTGGGCCTGTAAAATTCTTCAATGCGGTTACAGTTAATCAAGTTCTTTAAAGTTTGATCCATGTGTGCATGTTTAGATGCAGCTCTGCTCTGACACAACCCAATTGATTGCTTTACCACTGCAGCAGTCACAGTGTGTGACAGATGCCAATAAGCCAATCATGTCAGGTGTGCCACTGCAGGGAAATGCCTGAAACATGCAGGACTGCGGGCCCTGAGCTTGATGCATATTGGAAACTGTCTAATTAACATTCCGGGTTCCAGTGTTATCGGCTGTAAAAAGCATCTGCTGAGGCCAGACTGCAGCATTAAATGCTTTGCAGTCCGACAACAAAGATGAGGTCTAACGAAGCAGGCTTTCTATTTTAATGCCATCTATAAATAACGATAAAAGATTTTTTTTGTTTTTCTTTCCCAGTCAACTGATGGTTGACTTACAGTCCTTTGCTAAAATATTTACATCCCACAAACATGTAGTATAAAGCAAAAAACAAGTTCTTTGTCTTTGTCATGTTTCTTTATATTTGACAAGTGTTTAACAATGTGTTTATGTTTGAAGTTTGAAGGAACAGAACATGTTTTTTTTTTCCAAATCAACATAAAATTGTGGTGCGTTTTTAAATTCAAACAACAGAGAAGTTTTACTAAGATTTCAACAAAAAGTTTTACTTCATGGTTTTGTTCCCTGCGACAGAATCCCTATGGAGTATACTCACTGCTGAAAAACATTTTCTGTTTTTCTTTTTTGTTGTTCTCTTCCCACCGGACTCCTGGTCATTTGTTCTAGAAAAAAAGATTTTAGGAACACTTGCTTAAAACACATCCAAAAAAGTAAAAAAATAACAGTTTAAGGTACTTTAAATAGAATTTGAAAAGCTAAATAAAACCTACAATAAAAAAAAGCATGAAGATAAGTGCTGTAGCCTTTTAGAGATAAAGACCATCTGTTCTGGGTTGTCGTCAGTGAAGCATAATGTCTTCTAGCCAACTGATCTATCCACTGGAAAATACTTGAATACTAACATCTTAAAAAATTGCTATTGTGAACCAGAGGCTTATTGCACAAAGTCTGAATTGAAAAATCTAATATAAGAGTTAAATCCAGGTTTGACCTAGAATGATGGAAGCACTCTGACTTCATAACACACATTTCTTTTAGCTAAAAACAATAATTTAAAGAGTTACTTGTCATTTTTCTGAAATGAACAGCTTTTACTTTAAAATTAAAGTGGAAACTAATGCTATAATATCTTACATATCCTGGCATTTATTCTCTGTGGTATAAGTCTTACCCTTGAATGTGAAAGACTCAGGATCAAGCCTTTGGTACATCACGGGATGCATAATGAATGCCATCCGACAATGAAAAAGTTTGCCAAGCAAGGGATATGATTTATCCCTTTCTAGGTGACCCATCTTTTTTATATTCATGCAAAATAATTAGAATAGTTTGCAGTTGATTCAATGTACTAATGACTTTAAAATGCCTGCACACTTATTTGATCCCCTTCCTTATTTTAGGTGTTAAAAGAGGCTCATATGTCTGGCGCAGAGGTTGGCTGACCATCCCCTGCATTAATGCCAGCAGGATATCTGGCCTTTAACCAGGGAGGGAAGGCTTTGGAAGTCATGGACTGAGCCTCCCTGTTGCCGAGGACGCAGTCAGCATCAGAGGCTACCTTCATACTGCAGGCCTTAATCCTCAATTCCGATTTTTTTGTGAAATCAGATTGTTTTGTGTGGTCATTCACATTTCCAAATATATGCGACTTGTATGTGATCTCCTGTGTAAACTGCATTCATACAACTAAACAGTCTCGCATGCGCAGTTAGGGCTGGGTACCGAACATTGGTTCTTTTATGGTACCGACCGAAATGCTTCGGTTCTACAGAGTATCGAAACATGCCTCGTCTTTCGGTACCAAGTTTCGGTGATTGGCTGTAACACTTAACGTGATTGCGTCATCCAGGAAAAATACATAGTTGATCACGCCTACAGCCAGGGTTCATGTGTATCTGTTGTGAACTGGTTGCGAGTGTCGTGGAACCCCTTTAAAATGCCCCCCAGGTCAAAAGTGCGGCTTCACTTTATTAAGACTGATGCCAATAGTGCGCAATGCAATACATCATGCACGGAAACAATTTAAGAGCAGAAAGTTGCTCGGTGTTTGACTGCAAGAAGAGCGGACCGCAGCCAGCGCGACCATCCTCCTCTCAGCAGCCCGTGGGCAGAGCAAAGCCAGAGCGGAGTGAATCATGGTGCTTTCAAACTGGACGCAGTTAGAGCAGCAAAATCGCATCGGCTTCCTTTTTGCTGCTTGTACCAGTTAGTTCTGACGCGCGGCTGAAGCAGCTTTGCTGCCCTGGCTGCGCTGTCGAAAAGTGGCTCTGACGCGCGTTATTTGCCTTGCAGCTATATTTGCAGTGGGAATAAAGTAGTTTTATTATGTTTTTAAGTGAGAAAATTCACCTGACAACTTAATCAGTGCAGTCAGTTCATCCAGATTACCATCCTGCCTTCCAATATTATTTCTGTCGGAGCCGCTCAGACTCCCACATACCAGCGGTGCGCTGTCAGTAGGAATCCCATTCAATGGGCTTGTTTGTCTCCTAAGAAAGCAGACATGTTAAGAAAAACTGCTAAGTAAAAAGGTCCTCACAATGTAACAGTGAATATTAGACACTGACTTGTTTGCAACTGTTTTTCAATGAAAAAAAAATGTTTTATGTAAGAGGAAAAATGTAAATGGAAAAATTAGAGCTTAAAATAATACTCAAGATTTGTACTTTATTATGTTGTGTAATTTTCTTTTTCTTCGAATTGATATTATAAAACTGGTATCGAAAAAAGCATCATTCAGGAACCGGTATCGGTATTGGTACCGGAACCGAAAATTTTTGAACAATACCCAGCCCTACGCCAGTAGAGGATGCAGTGAAGTTACTCGTAACAAGTGCTCTCTCCGTTTACGGAAGCAAACATGGATCATAGTGTTGGAACGCATCTAGTTATCTTTTATTTCTAACCTGAGCCAGCGCATTAACACAGTCTTTTTAAGCAAATCAAAATGAAATACTGCTCTCCGCATTATCGTCCGCCATTGTTGATTTTCTTCCTGCTTCTGCTTAGCAGAAGAATAGAGACCTTTGTGGAGTACTTATGATGCAGGTCGGATGAATGCCACCTATCCGATCAGGCACAGGTTGCACTTTAAAAGATCAGATATATATTGGATTTAGGAGCACATAGCTAAGTGGCCTGGGCTGCATTTGAAAAAAAATCAGATCGATGTTGTTCAGGTTGTCAAGAAAAGATCAGATACATAAAAAGAAAAAATGGGATTTGGGTCACTTTAGGCTGCTGTGAGAACACAACTAGAGATTATCTTAAAGAGTCATTTCTTTACTGAAAAATATATTAAAAATACCATTATTATTTGACCCTTTATGACTAATATGCGGTTTGATGACAGAATGACACCTCAGTAGTTTAGCGCTGATGGATCAAAGCCTGGAGCCTATTTTCCTTAATTTACTCGGCAGCTTGGACATCAAGATGTCCATGTTAAATGAGTCCGACCAAGCAAACGACCAAAGCCCCGAAAATTCAAGATGGATTTGGTGGAAACTCCACGGCGAATGGCATCCTGCTAAACTCAAGACACCAATGGCAACTCCACATAATGTGTACACAGAGAAAAAAAAAAAGAAAAAAGAAAAAAAAAAGCAACTTGTCAAGTATGAGCGCGAGGTATGAGAACAAGCTGAAGAGTGTTGCAATTCTGTGTTTTTGCATCAGGTGGCAGTATCATTAGAAAACTTTGTAATTCCTCTTAAACCAATAAAGTGTGTTCTAGTAATAAAATTTCCATAATTATATGAATTTATGTGTTTGGCAGGCCTGTCTATAATTCACTCTGACCTGAATTTGTGTTGGGCTTAGTTCTTTAGATAATAATGACTGCTATTAGCCGCATCTTCAGAAGTGTATGTTTGGCATAAAAGGGCACATCTTTTTTAGTACGGGCGGGAGTGGTCACCTAGTGTTTAGGGCATAGAGCTTGGAATCCTGAGGTTGTGAGTTCGAAATCCACTACCACAGACTGTCACTCTGGATGTCCGAGCAAGACCTTAACCCCACACTGCTCCCTGGGGGCCCCATACTGGCAGCCCACTGAACATGTATGGCAGCAGGCTTAACTACGCTCGACTGCTAACCTGGAACAGGCTAGCTGCAAATAACGAATTGCGATGGTAAACCGCTTGTTACTGTTTTTGTGCAACTGAGTCAACACTTCATTAATCAAGAATATCTGGAAAATCTTAATTGCTAATCTTGATTTTGTGAAATAGGCATCAGAAGCTCAAATGTAAGATTAGAAAAAAAAAAAAAACAGGTCAGTGTGTTGATTTAATACATAACTTACTGTATCCACTGAAATATGTCTTCACATGGTGTGTCTGGGCTTATTTCTTCATAAACACATTTGTTTGGCCAAATAAGAAGAGGACTGTCGCAGATCGCCAGGACACAGGATTTGGATTTTACCTGCAAACGAAGTGCCTCAAATGCTCTGGAGATTGCTTTTTGCATAAACACCACTGGAAGAAAACAAAAGAAAAGAGTCAGTCAGCTTTTAGCTGCTATTACAGTTTTAAAATGCTTTAGTGGATATGGCTATTTTTTTGTACCGGTAATAAACATGAATCTTTCACTGCAGTCACAATTAGTATAGCCAATGTGTTTCATATTAGCAGAAAGCAGGGCTGGGGGAACATTTTGGGAAAGCTTTTAGTATTGTGGGCAACCCTAGTGAAGATGTTTAAAAAGACTGAAAATAAATAATGGTCTCTGGATTAGCATAATATCCCTCTAAAATAATAGAAGAAAACAAGTTGTTGAACATGTAAAATCTGAACAATTAAGGCACAATAAATGGAAATGGAAGATCTGGTTAACTCTAAGCAAATGATCTCATTTGTAAGGTTGTATTAGTGTAAGTCTTTGCTTTCGTTTGCTTGCAAGTTATGGATTTTCTGTTCACTACATGTGTCTGATTATATAAATAAGATTATTCAAGAACAAAGATAGCACACTGATTATGTTAAGGCCTCATAAACTCAAATATTATACATCTGGTGCTAAAGGATGGAAAACTTGAAATGCAAAAAAACTTTATTTTGTTGAATAAAATGGCAACAGCTTTTCTTATGAGAGATATTAAAAAAAATGTGTATACAGGTGCTGGTCATAAAATTAGAATATCATGAAAAAGTAGATTGATTTCAGTAATTCCATTTAAAAAGTGAAACTTGTATATTATATTCATACATTACATACAAACTCATATATTTCAGATGTTTATTTTGTTTAATTTTGATGATTACAAATGACAACAAATGAAAATCTCAAATTCATCATATCAGAAAATTAGAATATTGTGAAAAGGTTCAAAATTGATGGCCCCTGGTGCCATACTCTAATCAGCTAATTAACTCAAACCACCTGCAAAAGCCTTTAAATGGTCTTTCAGTCTAGTTCTATAGGCTACACAATCATGGGGAAGACTGCTGACTTGACAGTTGTCCAAAAGACGACCATCGACACCTTGCACAAGGAGGGCAAGACACAAAAGGTCATCGCTAAAGAGGCTGGCTGTTCACAGAGCTCAGTGTCCAAGCACATTAATAGAGAGGCGAAGGGAAGGAAAAGATGTGGTCGAAAAAAGTGTACAAGCAAGAGAGATAACCGCACCCTGGAGAGGATTGTGAAACAAAACCCATTCAAAAATGTGGGGGAGATTCACAAAGAGTGGACTGCAGCTGGAGTGAGTGCTTCAAGAACCACCACACACAGACGTATGAAAGACATGGGTTTCTGCTGTCGCATTCCTTGTGTCAAGCCACTCTTGAACCACAGACAGCGTCAGAAGCGTCTTGCCTGGGCTAAAGAGAAACAGGACTGGACTGCTGGTGAGTGGTCCAAAGTCATGTTCTCTGATGAAAGTAAATTTTGCATTTCCTTTGGAAATCAAGGTCCCAGAGTCTGGAGGAAAAGAAGAGAGGCACTTCATCCACGTTGCTTGAAGTCCAGTGTAAAGTTTCCACAGTCAGTGATGGTTTGGGGTGCCATGTCATCTGCTGGTGTTGGTCCATTGTGTTTTCTGAGGTCCAGGGTCAACGCAGCCACATACCAGGAAGTTTTAGAGCACTTCATGCTTCCTGCAGCTGACCAACTTTGTGGAGATGCAGATTTCATTTTCCAACAGGACTTGGCACCTGCACACAGTGCCAAAGCTACCAGTACCTGGTTGAAGGACCATGGTATCCCTGTTCTTAATTGGCCAGCAAACTCTCCTGACCTTAACCCCATAGAAAATCTATGGGGTATTGTGAAGAAGAAGATGCAATACACCAGACCCAACAATTCAGAAGAGCTAAAAGCCACTATTAGAGCAACCTGGGCTATCATAACACCTGAGCAGTGCCACAGACTGATCGACTCCATGCCACGCCGCATTGCTGCAGTAATACAGGCCAAAGGAGGCCCAACTAAATACTGAGTGCTGTACATGCTCATACTTTTCATGTTCATACTTTTCAGTTGGCCAACATTTCTATAAATCCTTTGTTTTTATTGGTCTTCAGTAATATTCTAATTTTCTGATATGATGAATTTGAGATTTTCATTTGTTGTCATTTGTAATCATCAAAATTAAACAAAATAAACATCTGAAATATATGAGTTTGTATGTAATGTATGAATATAATATACAAGTTTCACTTTTTAAATGGAATTACTGAAATCAATCTACTTTTTCATGATATTCTAATTTTATGACCAGCACCTGTATGTGTCCTTAACGACTTTTATTTTGCTGAGTTTGGGGCAAAGAAACTCGCTTAAGGGGATATTTTAACTGCTCTAAGTGATTGCTTCTGGCATAAAAGATTCATTGTTCTGTCAGATGAGCTTACACGGTCAGACCAGCATACCCATAGTCAGTACAATATATATATATTCCTTTAGTTTTTCCCCGTTTATCCCTCTAGTTTTGTACGAAAAAAACAAATTTAAACTACGTCATGGGGCATGTGTCCCTTCATCTGATCTCACCTTAAATTGTTGTTTTTTTGTCCATGACTAAAGGGATACACGTCCGTTGAGGTATTTTAAAGTCTATTTGTAGATGACGTCTTGCGCATGTGTATTGGACTATGGGTATGCTGGTCTGACGGGGAATGCTCATCTGACAGAACAGCAGAGAGCGTGATCCTGTTGACCACGGTGATCGCCAAAGAAGTAGAGAAAAGGATAAAAGATATCCTCCCTGCATCACAATATCTTAAGTATTTACTCTGCATGGATTTTTTTTCCCTCAACCAACTACATGTAGGCTACTTCAGAATATTTTTCTCAAACTAATTTAGATTAAAATTCTATTATTTGAGGACGTTAATGATACATTTTTAGAATTTACTACCATATATGCGTTAAACAGCTTAACAGACGTTTTTACTGAACAGATCTATTAATCTGTCAATAATTTTTTTGATGAATCAATCAACAATCAGATGGCAAAAGGTTTCTTAAAAAATGATTTTTTGCTAAATTAAACCAGGTGAAAGTACAAGCAAAAGGTTTACATATATACATATATATATATATACACAATTTTGGTATAATTGCTGTTCTAGGTGGGTTTCTCTGTCAGCTAAAGAGTCTCTACACTCCAGTTAACGATTAATTACTAAATTAGTTGAAGATTATTTCAATAATCGATTAATCACATTATTACGATTAATTGTTCTAGCCTTAATACAATCCCAACAGCGCTTTTCTACAATCCAAACTACTTATATCTGACATTTAGATTTACTGTTATGAATAATAATATGATTGGTACTATTCACAGTTTGTAGGAACACATAAAAATAGTAATATTAAGATCCAGCAGCAGTGCAATCTGCTAGAAAACGTCTCCGTGAACACACCATCCGTGCTGTCCAGCTGACACTTGAGCTCCAGCGGCCCTCGGAGTCGAAGAATGACCGCCGACTCGGAGCCGATAATCACCTGCGATAACACAGGATAACCAGACGGTTAGCTACAGGGCCAGCTCCCCGTATTTACACACACTTCTGATTTCACCAACGTAAGGAAGCGTATTAATGTCATTTGAGAAAGACTACAGGCTGAAGAGTCTCAACAATGTGCTAAAAAAACAGTGACAGTTCCTTAAAAACTGTATAAGAAAACTTACCATGTTTAAGTAACTTAAATTGTGGGAAAGCTCATTGTATTCATCCAAAGGAAGTTGACATGTCTGTAACTCAACGTGTCTTTGAACGCATCTTTCCATTGGCCGATTTTGGCTCCGCCCATTCAAAGATGCGTTCCATGTACCTCGGAATAATTATGGTACATTTAAGAGCACTAAAATGTCGTAAAAACTCGGCCCTTAACTTTTTATATTAAAAAGGCGTTCATTCTGAAATTCTCGTCTTGCCCCTATTGAGCCCTTGCTGTATCGTGTATAAAAAAGTACATTTTATAGTAGTTAAATTATACGTGGTACAAATACAGGAAATAATGTTGCATAAGCTTGACCTATATTTTACTACATCTAATCACTGTATCTAGGCCTGTAGCTATCTAAAGCTATAATGTGCTATAGAAAGGAAAATTTTGTACCACTATATTTTTCTTTTTATATTATAATATACGATTTATTAAAAATACAATAATGCTAAAAAATCTGAACTATAATAGTTAAGGTCTCAACTTTGTTTTCTAGTTTCTCTGTGTTTGTACAATCATGCATTTACACTTTTTTTTTTAAACATCAATCTGCTTTCCTTCTGTTTTAACCTTGCATTTGACCAAAATATATCACCTAAATAATTGCAGTGTTTCTCCTGTCTGATAAGTTATTTCACATCTGCTTTATGGCTTCACTTTAGATAACTTATATTCATATTGTTTAATCTACTGTTTAGGTTTGAGGTCCTCTGTCTTCATCTTTTTGGATTCTGTAATGCCCTAATGTCCTCATTGTGGGACAAGTATTTCTTCACCGAAAATGTTCTCTCCAAAAAGGTAGTAGCTCCTCTACTATGCTGATTTTGGATGATGAGAATATACTTTAAAAAAAAATATAAATCTTTTATAAATCTACTAATAATTCCAGCTTACAGCCACAAATATTTTTTATTATTATCATTATTTGATGAAATTGTTTATCAAGGTGAATTCAAGAGATTTGATACATGTCATGATGAGAAACTTTTGATGCTATATTATTTGCAACAAACTTGTACAATGCAAAGCTGTCATAGTAAGTGATTATGGAAAGTACAAATATGTAGAGTCACTGACAGCCCTCAATAAAAATCTAAAGAAACACATTACAAGCTGTTACAGCAATCATTTAAAGATTTAAAGAGCATATCAAAAGCAAAAAGCTAGCAAGAGATGACTGCTTTCTGCCGACTTGGTGTGCTGGGCTTAGATTTGTGACAAGGTTTACTCTCTCTGTTCAAATCATTCTTAGTGAGTGTTTGCAGGAACTAAACATACCATAGCAGCATGCGCTAAAACAAACGTACATTCATCATTCACACATAAGCAAAGCTAAACCTTCTTCTGTTTGTAAGACAAAAACAGACAAATGGCAGGATGAATCAGTGCTGATATATACAACTATTTTTGGTGCAAGTATGACATCAATGAGGATATATACTGGTGCTGGTCATAAAATTAGAATATCATGAAAAAGTAGATTGATTTCAGTAATTCCATTTAAAAAGTGAAACTTGTATATTATATTCATACATTACATACAAACTCATATATTTCAGATGTTTATTTTGTTTAATTTTGATGATTACAAATGACAACAAATGAAAATCTCAAATTCATCATATCAGAAAATTAGAATATTACTGAAGACCAATAAAAACAAAGGATTTATAGAAATGTTGGCCAACTGAAAAGTATGAACATGAAAAGTATGAGTATGTACAGCACTCAGTATTTAGTTGGGCCTCCTTTGGCCTGTATTACTGCAGCAATGCGGCGTGGCATGGAGTCGATCAGTCTGTGGCACTGCTCAGGTGTTATGATAGCCCAGGTTGCTCTAATAGTGGCTTTTAGCTCTTCTGAACTGTTGGGTCTGGTGTATTGCATCTTCTTCTTCACAATACCCCATAGATTTTCTATGGGGTTAAGGTCAGGAGAGTTTGCTGGCCAATTAAGAACAGGGATACCATGGTCCTTCAACCAGGTACTGGTAGCTTTGGCATTGTGTGCAGGTGCCAAGTCCTGTTGGAAAATGAAATCTGCATCTCCAAAAAGTTGGTCAGCTGCAGGAAGCATGAAGTGCTCTAAAACTTCCTGGTATGTGGCTGCGTTGACCCTGGACCTCAGAAAACACAATGGACCAACACCAGCAGATGACATGGCACCCCAAACCATCACTGACTGTGGAAACTTTACACTGGACTTCAAGCAACGTGGATGAAGTGCCTCTCTTCTTTTCCTCCAGACTCTGGGACCTTGATTTCCAAAGGAAATGCAAAATTTACTTTCATCAGAGAACATGACTTTGGACCACTCACCAGCAGTCCAGTCCTGTTTCTCTTTAGCCCAGGCAAGACGCTTCTGACGCTGTCTGTGGTTCAAGAGTGGCTTGACACAAGGAATGCGACAGCAGAAACCCATGTCTTTCATACGTCTGTGTGTGGTGGTTCTTGAAGCACTCACTCCAGCTGCAGTCCACTCTTTGTGAATCTCCCCCACATTTTTGAATGGGTTTTGTTTCACAATCCTCTCCAGGGTGCGGTTATCTCTCTTGCTTGTACACTTTTTTCGACCACATCTTTTCCTTCCCTTCGCCTCTCTATTAATGTGCTTGGACACTGAGCTCTGTGAACAGCCAGCCTCTTTAGCGATGACCTTTTGTGTCTTGCCCTCCTTGTGCAAGGTGTCGATGGTCGTCTTTTGGACAACTGTCAAGTCAGCAGTCTTCCCCATGATTGTGTAGCCTATAGAACTAGACTGAAAGACCATTTAAAGGCTTTTGCAGGTGGTTTGAGTTAATTAGCTGATTAGAGTGTGGCACCAGGGGCCATCAATTTTGAACCTTTTCACAATATTCTAATTTTCTGATATGATGAATTTGAGATTTTCATTTGTTGTCATTTGTAATCATCAAAATTAAACAAAATAAACATCTGAAATATATGAGTTTGTATGTAATGTATGAATATAATATACAAGTTTCACTTTTTAAATGGAATTACTGAAATCAATCTACTTTTTCATGATATTCTAATTTTATGACCAGCACCTGTATATATATATATATATATATATATATATATATATATATATATATATATATATATATATATATATATATATATGTAATATCCCAGCTTTCTCAAAATGGATGTAGAGACACTATAAAACCCAGATATAGTGGTCCTCTTAAACTTTATTTGTGGATATCAAAGTAAAAATGGCTGAACACAAACACTCAGCATACATTTCAGGTTTTATTTTTTTTTTCAAATACTTTTTCATGTCAAATATGTATAATATTGGTTTGTTGTCCATCAGAAATGGAAAAAAACTACTAAATTTCTTTCCTTAGAATAAAAATGGTTTATTAAAGCAGCCTTTTAGTATGTTATATAAAAAACGTTAAATAAAAAATGCTGACATGTCTATATAAATAGACATATCATCATAAGAATCTGCCATTTCGTTTGCTTTATTTTAAAACATTAGTGAAGCAAACAACGCGGAATGTAAGTGTAGAAGAAGGAATGTTTTTTTCTTAGGTGGAATAAAGCCTTTTTTTATTCTCTTATCTATCGGGGTGAAACAATTGTACAAAAACAATTAACATATATAGTGTCTATATTTGCTTTATTTAAAAGAATCCCAGTTTAGACCAAATATGTTGACCACAGCAGTGTGACTCTGTCGGTTTCAATTATCTATACCAAGGACAAAGTTTTACAAATATCCTTTGTTTGCAGGCGCTGACCAACGGACATACTTGAGTTGATGAAGAATGATGTCCTCTTCAGAAAAGTAGATTCATAGCAACATTTTAAATGGTATATCTCAGGGTCACTGGGTATTATAGCCATTTCCAGTAGACACCCCCTCCTGAGGAAGGCCGTAGAACAATAAAATATTACAATAAATGAGGCAATAAATATACTTGTTTTTTTGTGAGAACATATTTTTTTTTAGTAAGTGACATATTCAACAAATCATTAACATATGATTAGAATCTAGATAAACGAAAGACTGCCATTTGTGTATTATGCCATTTGGAAACTGCCTAAGCACAAACTGATTGATTTGCATCTCTAATCATTACTAACACTTATCTTTTCACTATTCATCAAATAATAATGAATAAAAAGTGGAGGCTGAAAAACCCAGGGTCAGGTCACACCAAAATCGTTTTTAACTCTCCAGCCCTGTTTATAAAAGTCTGACCAAGCTAATCTGCTGAGCTCCTGAGGGTATCTTGGCCATATGCTGTGTCCAGTTCTAGCTCGAAGTGTGAATTATCCTGTTCCTAATCAATCTCTAATGAAATCCTAATGAGAGAAAATGAAACTACCTTTAAATTAAAATCATGTAATGCCCCCGTCACGGATTTTAGTTTCCCAAAAAGTCAAAAACACCCATTGTGCTTCTCTCTGGATATTTATTTTTTATTATTATTTTTTTTTATCTATAATCTATTAATCTACAGTATCTTACCTGCACTCCACACCCAAAAATTACCTCACACCTTACAACAGCAACCTGCTCCGGTCTTGTCAGAGCCTCTCATAGGCGGAGCCTCTGAGCAACATGTTTGATACGATTACCCTTGTTATGTCCCCAGAGCTCCTTCTCAATCCTGTAAAAATGCAAATCATGTTAATGTCACATCAAAAACTATTCTAGATCATTTCAAAATGTCACCATACACATTCTACCTCACATGCATTCCACATATAGGACAAACAGACAGACATTGCCACATAAGGTTTGTTTAATACATCAGTATAAATTTTTTGATCGATCTTCATAGAGGAATTTTCAGCCTAATTTTAACAAAAAATCATAATCTCTTCACCAGTCCGGTCGTAAGACCTCTGCACCAGTGCTTTTTAGCCTCATTTTAGGATCCTTGTTAAACTACACATGCACATTTATAGAAACCCAAGATATATTTGCTCACGTTAGACATCAAAATAAGTTTTCACACCAAATGATTTCTAATGTAAGCGTCCCCCAAAACTGACACGCTAGAATTTTCAAATAGGAGAACACCTCTAATGGGTTCTGAAAAGTGGCACG